GTTGTTCTAATTTATTTAACATTTTCCTCATTTCGAATATTGATTAAAAAGCGTGAAAGATGAATGAAATGCCTGGATTTTCTTTCAAAAATATTATCCCACTTGATAAATCTTTCAATTCCGTGGCAAAAATGGTTATTACCTGTGCACGCTGCAATGTTAGTTTCTTCCAATCATTGATTTTGAAAATATTTTTCTTTTTTTAAACCAATAAATGCATACACAAAATTGTCAGAAGTCGGGCACACTTAAATAAATGTGATCAGCTGGAAGCTCAACCTTACCTTTTTATTGTGGATCTACCCATGATAGAAGAATATAGGTAGACGCATCGACACAGCTGATGGGACAATGAACTGCCAATTCAATCCGTCAATTTAAATGAAAAATCATTCAAATTTGTAAATCATTTTGAAAAACGTATATTATAGTTTCCTTCGATTGAGGTCGTATAAGAAATCGTATAGAAATCTACTTATATTTGAAAAAAAACATTGTAAATTTTGACACATCAATGTTCCCAAGCGTTGATACATCTACCTGTATTCTTCTACCATGGATCTACCCATGGAACAATTACATAAGGTAGAACAAACCTACCCCCTTAATACATTTTTTCTTTTGGTGCTTCATTCTGTCAAAACATATACACAGTTTGTATATGTTGTGAATAAAAAATAAAATAAAAAAACGCGTCGCATAGTGGTGAGTGTGTGATAGTGTCTATCTGGCTTTCCTTTTCACTGCAAATTTCAGATCATTAAGCTCGTCTCGAAAGAGAAAACAAACACTTTAATCATAAAACATATGATCTTCGCCTTAACAAGGCAAAACTCAAAAATTCAGCCGAGCCTGGCTGTGGGATTTGAACCGCGGACCTCTGTGTGCAGCCAACTAGAAGTTGCCGTCTCTACGTTCAGAGCCATTAACCCGTCTTCCTAAAGCAGCACTAAAACAAGTGTATGCATTGGAAGCAATGTAGTTGTTGTGGACAAAAAATCCATCACTACAAAAACAAAAAAAAAAAAAAAAAAAAACGTTGCTGTGAAAAAGATCTGCCAATAGAACTTGAGTCGAACCTGGAGAGTTTCTAGTGTATAATTCGCATATGCTAATTTGCAATAAGTTCGAAATATATACTACTTTCCAGAGAACGGCCCTTGTAAGCCATCATCCACATCAAATATGCCTGATGAGCCGCTTAACCAACGGCGAAACGCGTCGCATAGTGGTGAGTGTGTGATAGTGTCTATCTGGCTTTCCTTTTCACTGCAAATTTCAGATCATTAAGCTCGTCTCGAAAGAGAAAACAAACACTTTAATCATAAAACATATGATCTTCGCCTTAACAAGGCAAAACTCAAAAATTCAGCCGAGCCTGGCTGTGGGATTTGAACCGCGGACCTCTGTGTGCAGCCAACTAGAAGATGCCGTCTCTACGTTCAGAGCCATTAACCCGTCTTCCTAAAGCAGCACTAAAACAAGTGTATGCATTGGAAGCAATGTAGTTGTTGTGGACAAAAAATCCATCACTACAAAAACAAAAAAAAAAAAAAAACGTTGCTGTGAAAAAGATCTGCCAATAGAACTTGAGTCGAACCTGGAGAGTTTCTAGTGTATAATTCGCATATGCTAATTTGCAATAAGTTCGAAATATATACTACTTTCCAGAGAACGGCCCTTGTAAGCCATCATCCACATCAAATATGCCTGATGAGCCGCTTAACCAACGGCGAAACGCGTCGCATAGTGGTGAGTGTGTGATAGTGTCTATCTGGCTTTCCTTTTCACTGCAAATTTCAGATCATTAAGCTCGTCTCGAAAGAGAAAACAAACACTTTAAATAAAATAATTTGAAATTATTTCAAGGCCAATTATAAAATTTGTAAATATTGTACATAGTAGAATTAGTTCTTAGTTCGTAGTATTAGATTTTAAATCATAGTTTTAAGATATTATATAACTTAGTAGAGTTCGCCCATTTTTGTTTTTGGGGCATTTATGTTAAGTTTCAGTTTATTTTAGTTCATTTATGTTGATGGATGCTAAGTGCCTGGAGCATAGCGAATTACTTTGTATTATGTAGTAGATAGCGAATAGCTATACATAGTTAAGTCTTAGGTACTGTAAGCCATTTCTGTTAGTACGTAAGTTTATTATCCAAATAAATATGGCCATAGGCAAAAATTGAAAAAAATCGTTATGGTAGAACTAAGAAGGTAAAGTAATGCGATCATATGTTGAACATTTGTTCAAATTTATACAGTTGACAACATCTCATTTTCAAAATCAATATTCATAAATCCATTGTATGCACACAATATCAGAGATTGGAACTGTTTTTATGCATTAAAATTTGACAAGTGAATTACAGAAAATGTAGAGCTGGGAATGCTATTTTGAAATGAGGTTACTTTTATTTCATTGCAACATGCTTATGGGGAAGGTTCAAATGAAACACTTGTCTTAATTTCAAGACTCTGGCGTTTTGAATTATATTATTTATCAAAACAATATTTGGCAATTTAGTGGCTAACGTTAGCTACTTGTTTAACGATCGTTTTTTCCATGAAGACAACAGTTGCTCCATGGTAGAATCATGAATCAAATAAGCAATCCCATCTCTGCATTTTCTGTAACTAATCTTGTCATATACAATCCATATAAACTGTCACAACAAGAACAGTTTTGTTTATTTGCATTTATAAAGAATTGAAATTGTCAATAAAATTTGTGAAAAATACTTTAATTGAAAGTGGAGCCCTGCATGCAATTTTGCAGAGTGTGATGTGTAAACGTCTGTGTGTCTGAGTGCGCAACCCCATGTCTGAGTAAACGCGGGGTTTAATCGCAGCTGATCGTGAGCTAAATAATTAAGATTCCAACTATTTTTTTGCTTCTTCTTTGCTTGTAATAAGTCAAAAAGTTACTTTCGACTTTAAACTAATTTAAATTTTTTCGTGAACTCTTTGATATCGGTGAAATCTTAATAAACTTTATTGCCTTGCTTTGGAGCCATTGGTTCTTGTTGTTGCTGCATTTGTTTTTCTGTTGCTGCTTGCCGATATGTCTGCAAATAAGACTAAAAAGCATTGTTACATGTGGACTGTATTCTAAAGGCATTCTTTAAACCTGTGGAAGCATTGAATGCAGAATTTGCTGCAAATGGATTCATTTAGCATGTGCCAAACTCTCACCTCAAGATCTTTCAACACTGAAGTCAATTGGTGTGAGTTCATTTATTTGTGCGGCATGTGACCAAAACCTTAATAATGTACGGGGAAATAGTGTTGTGGTTGACGACATTCGAGATCTCAAGAGGCAGATTGATAATTTTGTTGGTGTTCATCAAACCGATTTGAATGGCATTAAAGATGCGATTGACAAAATGAATGTTGAACTGAGTTCGTGTCTGTCTGTAATCAAGTCTGATATTGTCAAATGTAATGACCGCACTAACCATGTTGGAGAGTCAGTGTCGTCCAAGATGAATCTTTTGGAAGCTGAGAATAACATTCATCATCGTCGCTTAAACCGTGCTGACTTCATTATTGGTGGCTTATCAATTGCCGATTTCTTTAAAGTCAGTTTGAATAAAAGTGATGTCAATCGTATCTGCTATATCCACAATAGGAAGCAGATTTTAGTCAAACTAGGTAATGTGGGTATTCGAGATGACATTATGAAGCAATACTTTAGAACCCATGTATGTGATGTTATAAAGGATGGTCCTGGTAGTGATGTTTCTAGTCGTATATATCTTAACGATCACTATAAGACTGCGGCTTCGAAACTCAGTTCAATTTGCGGCTGAACTTAATTTCAAAATTTTAAATGGAGACAAAGTTTTAGCGGAAACTACAGATCGCAATGGTGTCAGGACGAAAAGAGACATTGATTTTTGCTGCTCCTTATTGCAACAATCCGAGGTTTCGTCTATGTAGCAGGATTTTTACTATTACACTGATTGTATGTATGATCTCATTAATATTTTTTACGATCAGCTGTGTTATCTAGTATTTTAAGTTATTTTGTATTAAACATGAAATTTAATATTATATCTCAAATTTATTATATTGTACTCTTTATTTCATCTTTATTATTCTATTTGTTTTGGCTCCCCACCGCATATTTTTTCAAAAAATTTAAGGTCTTCTAATAGTAATTTAGGTCCTATAGTTAGCTGTAACACATATATTAAATCTGTCTTGCAACCCTACTCTAGTCAAATGAAAATAGGCCATTGGAACTGCCGAAGTCTGAAACCTCTATTAAAAATGAATGAACTTAAATCTATTTTGAAAGATAATGTTTTAGATGTATTAGCCATTTCGGAAACATGGTTGTCACCAGACACATTGGACGTATCTGTAGCTATTCCAGGTTATAGGATACTTTGTAATGACCGGTTAATCCCTAACAGGGGTGGAGGTGTTGCGATCTATATATCGTATGGGCTTCACTTTAAACCTGCATTTTCTGTTTCTGTGCAAAGCTGTGAATTTCTTTTTATTATCTTGGAAGTTAAAGGTCTAAGCATTTTATTTGGTGTCGTTTATTTGCCGACAGGTTTTGCCGATTTCGTCACCATGGTCTTTTTCTCACTTTTCAAACATTATTGCTGTTGGTGACTTTAATATTAATTTATTTAATTCCAGCAGATGTGATTTGCTTCGTTCGTTCTCTTCTCGCTTTGATTTATCAGTTGTGCATAACTCAAAACCAACGCATTTTGACTTGAGGTGTAGATCAACATCGCTCATTGATTATATGCTTGTCAGTGATATTTCCCTCATAATATATTCTGCAGTCACCTGGTATTTCTGACCATTGCTTAATATTTGCAGCTCTTGTTTTTGATTATGAACCCCACCCGGACTTTATTGAATATCGTAATTGAGCTGGGATTGATTGGGATCGAGTGATATTATTCTTAAATGCGTATGATTTTGATTGTTATGATAATGCTACTGATGTTAATTCTAAATGTATGTTTGTGTCTAACCTCTTAAGTATGTTTTTCTCATTTGTTAAGAAACCTGTTAATACTCATGATGATAAATGGATGGATTCTAGGGAAATTTGTTTTGCAAAGTCACTTAGGTATCTTGCATTCTTTGCATTCCTTAGTGATAGATCTGACTTGAATTGGAAGACTTACTGCCGGTATCGTAACAAGGCCAAAAATGTAATGAGAAAGGCACGGAGGAGATATTTTTCTAGAATATTTAGTGGTATTTATTCTTCAGATGTGTGGAAATTCTTAAGAAATGTCGGATGTGTTGGTGGTAAAGGTGCTAGATTTGATATTGACGTCGATGTTCTGAATGCTTTCTTTTGTTGGTGATTCTCAATTGGAGGGGATGATTAGTGTTGATACCTACCATCGAACTATGGCTCCCAGTTTTACAATTATAAAGGGAACTACTCCATTGTCCTTCTGGCAGCTTGTGATGCTAATTACACATTTACTTCCGTGCTTGCTTGATTAGTGTTGATACCTCCATGGACTACAACAGTCGTTTTTCTTCTGCTCGTGTCAATGAAGTAGATGTATTGTGTGCTTTAAATAAGGTCAAATCAAAAGCTGTTGGGTTGGATTTTATTCCAATAACGTTTATAAAATTAGTTTTTCCATATATATCAACAATTATTACTGATTTGGTTAATTGTGTTTTAATGACTTCAACATTTCCCCAAGTTTGGAAAAGAACGTAAGTCTTACCTATACCAAAAACAAGAAATGTTTGTGAGCCTGATGATTTGTGTGCCATTTCTATTCTTCCAGCTATATCAAAAATAATTGAGCATATTCTTAAGGATCAAATCATTGACCATTGTTCTAATTATATTTGTGACTCTCAGTTTGCTTTTCGAGCAGGACATAAGGGTCTGTCAGATAGAATACGTTGTGTCCGTTGCGGCAACGTATTTGACTGACGTGACGTACAAAAAGTATAGACTCGCCACAACAAATCCGTCTTCTTCTTCTTGCGTAAGTTCTTATATATATGAATGTACATGTAATCGTATGAGTCCGGATAACATTCTTAAATACTTCCATAAAATTTAAGATATTTAGCTCATGGCGGAAGTAAGCAGATATTTTCTGCTCCCTTTAAAATGGGGGTGCCAACTATGAAAGGAATAGTATCAGAAACCTGCGAAGTGCTTTGGGAAATACTTGGCCCAATATATTTATCAGTCCCAAAGGAAAATGAGTGGAAGCGAATCGCCATTGATTTTTACACAATGTGGGATTTACCCAATTGTGTTGGCACCATTGATGGCAAGCACATCAATTTAACTTGCCCATCGAACTCTGGCTCCCAGTTTTACAATAATAAAGGGAACTACTCCATTGTCCTTCTGGCAGCTTGTGATGCTAATTACACATTTACTTCCGTGGATATTGGTGCGGTGGAGTTATGTGGAACTCAAGATTCGGTCAACAGTTGTATAAGGGCCAATTGGATCTACCAAAAGAAGAAGTACTACCCGATTGCAGATGCCGCGTTCCCATTAAAACCATTTTTAATTAGACCTTATCCAAGTTTGCATGAGCAATTTATATTTTCCTCTTCGATTTTATGTAACAAAAATTTTTTTAAGGAAGTAACTTGCCGCCTGAAAAGGAAATATTTAATAAACGTTTGTCACGGGCCCGTAGGGTAATAGAAAATGCTTTTGGTATTTTGGCGAGCCGATGGAGGATTTTGTTGTCATCCCTACAAATGAGCACAGCATCCGCAGAGAAAGTTATTAAAGCCACGGTACTTCTTCACAATTTCCTCAAAATGCATGATGGCAGTTATTGTCCGCCAGAATATGTCGACCGAGACGACGGCATTGTATTGATAAATGGTCTGTGGCGCAACGAAGTGCCTGTCCCTTTGCAGAGAGCCAGGAGAACAGCTTCAAATAATGCAGCAAAATGCGCATTCAAATTAAGGGATGAACTCATGAGCTATGTCGTTTCACATCCAATTCGTCATTTTTCCCGGCAGTAACTTCATATTTGTTTAATAAAAAATACTGATGAAAGAATGTATCAAACATTTAGTATTTCTTTTCATATTTTAATTTACTAAAAAATAAATCATTTCATTATACTAAAAACTAAAAATAATTTATTTTATTAAATAAGAAAGCAAGAAGAAAGAACATTGTTTAAAGTTCATTCATTGTTTAAAATTTGAGACAATGTTGAGCAATTTGATTTTAATTCTATCTTGCTCGTCCACTGAGTCCTTCAGCAAATACTCGTCTAGTACTCTTAAAAAATCGGCATTATGAGACACTGGTGGGGGACTTTGACTCTGTGCTGCCTGTTTTTTTTATCCAGTCAGACACAGAGTCACAAAGGTGATCAAACCTGTCTTCTTGTCTCTTTCTTTTATCGCAACGTTTTTCCACTTGTAGTGTGGATTGCTCAAAAGGACGTGGCAGCTCGCTGCAAAAGGAATCTACATTTTCATTTGTTTCGTCTTCCCCCGACAACTGCGAACTTCCATATATGTCGCCACTCTCGAACTGCGTACTTAAAAATGAATCCTCACTCGACCATTGCATATTTGAAGAAGTTCGGGGATATAAAATCGATTAGGAATCTCCAAAAAAATATATCACAGAGCTCTGTAATTACCTGCGAGGAGCGACATGTCGTTGCAAAAAAGACATCGCATTGATATACCGCCATCCACGACCTTCTTTTGCACCACTTCCCGACGGAAGCTTACTTCCGTTAACCTCCTTTACATATCTGTCCCGAAGGGACCTCCAGCGACTTTGGCATTGTTCGACTGCAATATAATATAAAATACCTCCTGTCAATATCTACCTTAAATATACAATTTATGAAAATAACTCACCAGTCGCGTTTGTGGAAGCTGCCACAGCTCTCCAAGCTTTTTCCTTAGCAATTTTGTTGCGATATAGCACTGTTTTTTTGTCAAAAAGACAAGGGTGAATCTGCACCGCTTCTATTAATAAAAATTCCATTTCAAAAACCTTACATAAAATATTAACAAATTACAGCTGATTTCTGTGCCGGACTTGCCGCATGTCAAAAGTTGAGAGTAGACCAACTTTAATCCGTTTCGGCAACTTACACGTTGTGAATGTGACATTCTTCATTAAAATATAAGCAACCAAATCGGCTGTCAGTCTAATACGTTGCCGCAACGGACACAACGTATTCTATCTGACAGACCCTATAGTACGACACATTTACTTCTGTCTCTCAATGATAGCATTCGGGAAGATATAAATAATGGCAAACTTAGTGTCCTGATTTCGCTTGATCTGTCAAAAGCTTTTAATTCCATAAACTTCAACCGATTGATTTTCAAACTTCTGAATGAATATAGATTTTCTGATTCGGCATGTAGGCTTATCTTTTCGTATCTGAGTAATAGGACCCAGTCAGTTCGTTATAATAACCATCAATCGGATTTTCTGCCTCTTCATTCTGGTGTTCCACAGGGTTCCGTTTTGGGGCCCCTCTTATTTATACTCTATGTGAATGATCTACCTGTACACACTAATTTTCTAGATTGCCATACCTTTATGTTTGCTGATGACATATTTTTGCTTTTGTATATAATGTTCCTAGAAGGAGACATATTTCAGACTTTGTTAAGAATTTTTTAGGATGTTCCTCTCATTACTATATTGATTTTCGAAAATTATTTTTATTTTACAAGGTTATCAAATACAGTAAGCCTATTCAATCATATAGATAATTTGACTTTTCCCACGCCACTAGGAATCCTCATTCCTTATCATTCCTAGAATTTGGAAAATATATATATATATATATATATATATATATATATATATATAAATATATATTTTCGCATTCTAATAATGTGTTCAAATTAAAACTTCTTGCATTTTTTAATACTAGCTGATTTTTATAATACTACTAAGTCATTAATTTGTGTTACTGCTATCTGGGACTTCTACCCTGTTTTTTCTTGTAGTTGTGGTTGGGGGCCAAACTCTAACTCAAGCTCATAATAAATGAGTGGTATGTAATTTTTTTCCTAGTTTTATGAATTTATTGATTATTTTTTGTAATAATTTTAGTTTGCTCAGAACTTATTATAATGTAATGTTTTTTAGCCTTTTATTACATGAATGAATTTAAATAAATAAATAAGTAAAATGGACCAGATTTTTTTCATTTGTTATAGCTTTAGCTTACGACTTCAGAGGGAATATATATATATATATATATATATATATATATATATATATATATATATATATATATATATATATATATTGATTCGCCCAAAATGTACCTCATAGAAATAATGGTCTCATTTAATTTGTAGTCAATCAAAGCATGTCCTTTATCCGGTGAGAACGATAACTCTCAAACGATAACGTTCACAAAAAGGCTATATCTGCCCACTCCCCCTAGTATCTCCCCCACAAAGGATTACAATTTTGAATAATATCTTTTATAAAATGTGAAGTAAGAGTCACATTGTCTTTCCTAAACCCAATATTTCTACCAATAAACGATCTAGTGTGAAGATTAGATACATTGGTCCATTCATCTGGTATGTACCCCACAAGGGGTCAAAACTTGAAATAATTATAACACTCAAAAAATGCGAAATAAGAAACAAACTATTTTCAAAATCTACGCATCGAAATACATCTACAAACACATGACCTGGTGAGAGAATAGGATTTTCGGATAACTCCTTCAAGTACCTCCCCACAAAGAGCAAGAATTTTGAATAAATTTCGTAAATTGAAATATTTCTTTCAAGTATAAAGAAAACATAGAATGGACAAATCCTTCTGGCACACCATCCACAGGAACATCCGATTCTTCTCAAAATTTTGCATAACCTAATAGTTCAACAACACGAGATTTAGTGTGGAGATGGAATATACCGAATATATTCTTCCGATACAAATACAAAAAGATTCATTGCCGCCAGCATCACTTTTATTGCAAAGAAAACTCTAAAGATGCAAAGAAAACTTTCTCATATTCTCAAATTGAAATATGTATTATTTTTCCTCAAACATAAATGACAACAGTTAATGTGTCAAAAAATTTGTAAACATATGACTGCATGACTTTACCTTCTTAATTCTACTCGCTTAGGTATCGATTGTTGGCTTGTCGGTGTCATGAACCAGGATATAACTTAAAAAAATATAATTCCAGTAAACACATATTTTTAATTTGGATTAATACTTCTCCTCTCCTCATTGAATTACAAACATAACTAACCGTAAGCTAATATTGTACTATTGTACATCAGTTCATACTCAACAACAGTACCCCGCAGGAGTGGGATAGATATGAAATGTGAACCATCAATAACAGCCTTTGTAAAGACCCCAAACCCTCGACGAAGAACAGATAATAACGTATCGACATCATGGAGAAATTGGATACAACAACATAAATGGTTTTCTTTTTTGTCTCGTACCCGTACGTAGCCCGACGTCAAGTAAGTGGACGGAAGAAAACAGCAACATCAGCAGAAATGGTTCGAAAAATAAAGAAGCGACTTGACCGAAACCCGCGTCGCATTGGCCGAAAAATTGCTCGTGAGCTAAACATATCGCAATATTCCATTCGGCAAATATTGAAAAATGAGCTCGGGGTAAAGCCATTTAAATTCCAAAAAGTGCAAGACCTTACACCGCAACAGAAAGAAAATAGACTCAAAAGAGCTAAAGAGTTGCTTCGCTTAACCGAATGTTGTGAACTTCCAAATTGGGTTTTCTCGCATGAGAAACCATTCGTTGTCCAGCAGTTTGTAAACGAACGAAATGATCGTGTTTACCTGCCAAAGAGGTCAGCTGAAATGTGCACCTTCGGTTGGCCACCAGAACACAAGCGACGGCCATGGTAATGGTGTGTGCCGCCATAACAGCCGATGGTCGCTTCTCGCTCGAATTAATCGACCGTGACATCAGAAAAAAATACCAAAGTGTCGATCACCTCAAGCAAGCGCTTCGACGGGATTGGGCCAAAACAACGCAGAGCAACAGTCGGGCAGCGTGTGACGGTTTCATCGGCCGCTTGAAGGCCCTTTGAATACCCTCCACCACTTGGAACGAATTTGGCAATTTTCAAAAAAGAAAAAATCTTTTAAAATCTTAAAAATACCGAATGTTGCCGTTATATTAGGGTCTTTACGACGACGTGGATCTGTATCACCAAAATGCCGAATAAAGAGAGGTACTATTATGTGGGGCTATGTCAAAACGTGGACCTGAACAGACAATTTTTTGTCGTAAGCTGTAGTATCCATTACCAACTTCAAATACCAAATTTAAAAGCAATTCCAGTGAATGACATCGCTAAAATCATCAAAATACCAAATATCGGGAGGAGCCGTTATAGGGGGCTATACGAAAACGTGGACCTGCACAGACTATTTTCTGTCATAGCTTGTAGTATACATTACGAGCTTCAAATACCAAATTTGAAACAATTCCGGTGAATAATGTCGCTAAAATCATCAAAATACCAAATATAGGGTGGTACCATTTTATGGGGGCACAGACAATTTTCTGTTTTTGGCTGTAGTATCCATTACGAACTTCTAATACCAAATTTGAAACAATTCCGGTGAATAATGTCGCTAAAATAATCAAAATACCTATCATCGGAAGGTAGCGTTGTATGGGAGCTTTACGAAGACGTGGACAAGTACAGACAATTTTGTGTCGTAGACTGTAGAATTCATTACGAACTTTTAATACCAAATTTGAGACAATTGCGGTGAATTATGTCGCTAAAATAATCAAATTACCGAATATCGGGAGGTACCGTTAAAAGGGGCTATACCAAAACGTGGACATACATGGCCCATTTTCAATTAAAAAAACCTGCAGACATAATATACATTTGAGTAAAATGTTATCAACCTACTTCATTTCGTTCGGAAGCCAGAGTGATTTCCACAGACGGACAGATGGACGGACATCTCTAAATAGACAAAGAATTTTATGCTGATCAAGAATATATACTTTGTGGTGTCTAAAATGTGTATTTCGAGATGTTACAAACGATATGACTGTGCAGTTATTTTTAGTTGCATTGTAGCCATCTCACTAGCACTGCAGATCTCAATCTTGCTGAAAATACACTTTTTTCTTGATTAATAACCCTCCATACTCTGGTGAAGGGTATAAAAATCAAGCAAAAAATGTAATTTCGACAAATTTGAGATCTGCACAAAAACGATGACATGAAAGTAGATGCAATTAAAATAGAGGCATTGCCAAGAAGTTTTAAAACGGTAAACAGTAATAAGAGAAAATTATCAGCCTGTGGCATATGTCTTCAAAGCTCTAACAAAATGTCAACAAAAACAAAATCTTATAATTGAAACAGACCATAAAACCCCTCGAGATTATTATTAAAAAGTCATTCCACTCCGCTCCACATCGACTATTCTCCTCTAGGTATTGCCATAATCTCCATACGTCGTTTACATGAAAGACACTGAAATAAAATTAGCAGATGCTCTCAGCAGATATTGCGAAAATGAACAACATCGGAGAAAATATAAGTACATGCAGTTAAAACCCATACAACGATGTCAATAAAAAATAAAAGAACACCAACAGGCGATACAAACTTACAAATGCTGATAACAATTATGTAGAATGGATGGCCGACATCAATAACAAAATTTCTATATGAAATTTTAGAAACTTTTATATGACGATGGCATAATTTAAAATAATTAAATTATGTTATGTTGTTTTATAAAAACAGCAATAAAGGGATTAATGCTGACCATTTTGAAACAACAAAATACTATGGTACCCCGAACAAACAAGCCAAAAATGTTCTATTAAAAACAAGACACGGTCGACGAAGGGATTTTCGTTGTAACAGACAAAACTTTTTTACTGGCTTAAGTCATCGGCTAGCTTCTTCGTAAAAGAAGAATGGAAACGTAATGCTATACATCGCTCCCGTCGAAATGAATATACAGTGCCAACCTGTGGTCTTGGTGGTGCCAGGCTGGTGGTCTTGTACATCTACTGAGCGCATCGATATCTGTGCGTGTGGGTCACCTTTATTATCTCACTCATTATCGTGTCATATTTTATGGCGGCTGGGAAATATGTAATTTTAAAATATTTATTGCACATAGCTAGGTTTTCCCAACGCCTCAACCGCACTAAAAAGTATGTACAAAGCATGGTACAATGAAGAGAAGGTAGGTCAACTTTGAAATAATTGCAAGTATAGAGGTCTACCTGTTTGGCTTGTAATGTCAGAAATAGTATCAAAACAATAACAAAATCAAACAACTTGTTGCATTTATTTTGAATAAATAATTGAAGACCGCGAAAACTGAATGAGAGGTCAACACTTCTTTTCAAAACCAGGTTCTATATATCTCTAAAGGATTATTTCGCTACAAAAACTCTAGATTTTGTCGATGCATACGATGAAATAAACATTTTGAAAACATCCGAATTTGAATGTTTTCTGAACAATTTTTTTGTTATTGAAAAGAAAACACATACATAAACAAATAAAGATGACATATTAAGCCAAGAAAATAAAAAAAATGAAATCATATGGTATCATAGCCCTACCTTGATATCATTGTACCATGGTACAAAGTATTAAATGTGTATGTTAATAGTGAACTTTATGTTTTATAAATTGAACAAATGGATAACAACGTTTTCTGTTCTAACGGCCATTAGTTGTTTGGTATTGATTTCTCTCTGATAATAGCAAGATAGTGCGGAAATCAACAACATCGTAGCAAATTTAAGTACATGCAGTTAAAACCCATACAACGATGTCAATAAAAAATAAAAGAACACCAACAGGCGATACAAACCTACAAATGCTGATAAAAATTATGTAGAATGGATGGCCGACATCAATAACAAAATTATTACATGAAATCTTTTTGAAATTCTAGAAACTTTCATATGACGATGGCATAATTTAAATTAACTAAATTACGTTACGTTGTTTTATAAAAACAACAATAAAGGGATTAATGAAGTCCATTTTACAAAAAAAAAAAAAAAAAAAAATACTTTGGTATACCGAACAAACAAGCCAAAATTGTTATATTAATAGACAAGACACGGTCGACAAAAGGGTTTTTGTTGTAACAGACAAAACCAACTTAATAAAATATTGTTCAAGGACAAGCTCCTATATATATATATATATAGAGAGAGAGAGAATTACTCTTTCAAAATCTCTAAAACAATTAAAAATATTAAAATAGAGAACAAATTAGTTTCTTTTAACTCAAGAACCCCTGGTCTGATTTTAACGCATACATATATAAAGATCCAAAGGGCAAAGCACGCTATAGGGGCAAACCCTATATAAAGATCCAAAGGGCAAAGCACTCTATAGGGCCAAACCCTACACCACTTTGCTAATTTAGTAGAGCTCCACATAACAATTAAAACTTTTTATGGGAGAATTCAATCATGCACGCTATGATTATAAATATAATTTAAAGTTCAAAGGACTAAATAAGCTTCGTATCTTTCAAATTCGGACTTGTATTGCCCATTTGGTGCAAAATTAATTTGAAATCAGATAAAGATATACTTATATGAGGGCTAAAAGGACTAAATAAGCATTTGTATCTTTTAAATTCGGACTTGTATTGCCCATTTGGTGCAAAAATATTAAATCGGATGAACAATATATATGGGAGCTATAGCTATATCTGAACCGATTTCGATCAAACTTGGCATACTTGTTTTCAGGCAAAAATAATAAGTAAAAGAGGACAATAACAGTCCCAAATAAAGAAAAAACATACAATTTTGAAAAGACAACATTACAAGTCCCGTCTGAAAAAGAAACAGATTTTAAAATTCTTTTGAGAAATCTTCTAAATCTTACAACTGCACTTATAAACATTTTCATTTTTTTTCTCCACTTGTTATGCTTTTATTTTACATGAACGAAGTAGCATAACCATGTAAGTTGGTTTTGTCTGTTACAACAAAAACCCCTTTGTCGACCGTGTCTTGTCTATTAATATAACAATTTTGGCTTGTTTGTTCGGTATACCATAGTATTTTTTTTTTTGCAAAATGGTCAGCATTAATCCTTTTATCGTTGTTTTTATAAAACAACGTAACGTAATTTAGTTATTTTAAATTATGCCATCGTCATATAAAAGTTTCTAAAATTTCATGTAGTAATTTTGTTATTGATGTCGGCCATCCATTCTACATAATTTTTTATCAGCATTTGTAAGTTTGTATCGCCTGTTGGTGTTCTTTTATTATACCCTCCACCATACTATGGAGGGTATATTAATTTTGTCATTCCGTTTGTAACTCCTCGAAATACTCACGTCAGACCCAACAAAGTATATATATTCTTGATCAGCGTAAAATTCTAAGACGATTTAGCCATGTCCGTCTGTCTGTCTGTGTGTCTGTCTGTCTGTCCGTATGTCTGTCTCTCTGTCTGTTGTAATCACGCTATCTTTCGAACAAATTGAGATAGAAGGCTAAAATTTTGCACACATGTATATTTTTCCAGTAGGCAGGTTAAGTTCGTAAATGGGTCATGTAGGTCCAAGTTTTCATATAGCCCCCATATAGCGGTACCTCTCGATATTCGGTATTTTGATGATTTTAGCGACATTATTCACCGGAATTGTTTCAAATTTGGCATTTGAAGTTCGTAATGGATACTACAGCCTAACAGAAAATTATCTGTGCAGGTCCACGTCTTCGTATAGCCCCCATATACCGTACCCCCCGATATTCGGTATTTTGATGATTTTAGCGACATTATTTAACGGAACCGTTCCAAATTTGGTATTTGAAGTTCGTAATAGATACTCCAGCAGAAAACAGAAAATGGACCATGTAGGTCCACGTCTTCGTATAGGCCCCATATAACGGTACCCCCCGATATTCGGTATTTTGATGATTTTAGCGACATTATTTCACGGAACCGTTCCAAATTTGGTATTTGAAGTTCGTAATAGATACTGCAGCAGAAAACAGAAAATGGACCATGTAGGTCCACGTCTTCGTATAGGCCCCATATACCGTACCCCCCGATATTCGGTATTTTGATGATTTTAGCGACATTATTTACCGGGATTGTTTCAAATTTCGCATTTGAAGTTCGTAATGGATACTTCAGCCCATGACAGAAAATTGTCTGTGCAGGTCCACGTCTTCGTATAGGCCCCATATACCGTACCCCCCGATATTCGGTATTTTGATGATTTTAGCGACATTATTTACCGGGATTGTTTCAAATTTCGCATTTGAAGTTCGTAATGGATACTTCAGCCCATGCCAGAAAATTGTCTGTGCAGGTCCACGTCTTCGTATAGCCCCCATATAACGGTACCCCCTATATTCGGTATTTTGATGATTTTAGCTACATTATGAACAAATTTTTCTTCAAGTTTCGCATTTAAATGTTGTAATAACTTATGACAAAAGTTGCCTATGCAGGTATACGTCGTCGTATAGACATTCGGTATTTTTAAGATTTTAACAGAATTTTTAAAGGATTTATTTTATTTTATTTATTTTATTTTTTTGGAAATTGCCAAATTTGTACCAACTGGTGGAGGGTATTAAAAGTTCGGCCCGGCCGAACTTACAGCTTTTTTACTTGTTTTTTATTGACATCGTTGTATGGGTTTTAACTGCATGTACTTATATTTTCTACGATGTTGTTCATTTTCGCAATATCTGCTGAGAGCATCTGCTAATTTTATTTCAGTGTCTTTCATGTAAACGACGTATGGAGATTATGGCAATACCTAGAAGAGAATAGTCGATGTGGAGCGGAGTGGAATGTCTTTTTAATAATAATCTCGAGGGGTTTTATGGTCTGTTTCAATTATAAGATTTTGTTTTTGTTAACATTTTGTTAGAGCTTTGAAGACATATGCCACAGGCTGATAATTTTCGAAAGAGCTGCAACTACACTAAATTTGCTTGCATCGCACCTGGAATTTAACGTTTTGGGTAGAATAATAATTTTTGAGTAGAGGAGTCGAAAAAAATTCTTTTTTTAGTTTCCGGAAAGCTAATTCGTTGTAGGGATGATGTTTTTCGAAAATTTATTTTTTATTTTGGAACTCATCGATCATTTTTAAATAATTTTAAAATCAATTCCATAGTTCTTTACGCAAGACGAGTGGCATATTTTTTTTTTTGGGTAGCGGAGTCGAAGAAAATTCATCTTTAGTTTCCTGAAAGCTAAGTCATCGTGCGGCACCCACATCCACTAATTTAATAGATTTCGTAGGGACGATATTATTTTCGAAAAATTATTTTTTATTTCGGAACTCATCTATCATCTTCAAAAATTTTAAAATTAAATCCACAGTTCTTTACGAGATACGAGTATGACATAAATACATTATCAGATCAATTACCTCATGTTCATCCCGGAATGTATATGTATACATATATATATATATGTATATATCCATATATATATATATATATATATATATATATATATATATATATATATATATATATATATATATATATATATATATATATATATATATATATATATATATAGATAATTACTCTTACTCAAAATCCCTAAAACAATTAAAAATTAATATATATATATATATATATATATATATAAAGAGGGAGATTTAGTAGTGATTAAGAATGACAGACTCGCTCCAAACGAATGGAAGTTGGGTCGCGTTCAAAAATCATTTCAGGGCACGGATTAAAATACTCGGATAGTATATACGGACTTCTGGTGGCAATATATGCAGACCCATTACCAAAATTATTAAACTATTCTCCGACTGACTAGCCGTTTATTTCCTCCTAAAAACATAGTACTCGCTTCTTGTTTTTTACAGATATGGCTACTTATCTACCGAATCAGGACTGACGCATGGAAGACCGGAGCCGCATTCCCAGTAACTCAGCCCGGAGCCCCAACCGCCCAACCCCAAATCCAACAGCCCGCAGTCCCAACCAGCCACCGAGGACCCAGCAAATGGCTGTACTCCTGTGGACTATGCCAACAAGACCACAGCCTTTACTCGAGCCCTGTGTCCCGCGACAGACCCCGTTTCAGAGGTATGAGACGGTGGAAAGACGTGGTTATTGTCGAAACTGTCTGGCAAGGAGCCATCTTGCCCCCGATTGCCCCAGTTTTGATGGCTGCAGACGTTGCGACAGCAGGCACCATACGACCCTGCACGGGGCATCGCAGCTGGATGAGGTGCCACGAGCAGATGGAAGCTATAAACGCACCAGCCTTTGCATGGGATTTGATATTGGTGCCCACCGTAATGATCAGATTAATGGCCGAAGGGATGGAAGGGTTCGTGATGGTGCGGGCACTGATGAGCCAGTCGGCAACTATGACCACCATTTCATATGCGGCATATGCAGCACCGCAACGCATAACCACATTCACTATACGACCCAGAAGAATTAGCAGCAGCTGGTCTCTGCAGGTAAATGCGGTGGTGAGAGACAAACTCCCCAGGCGACTTTATTCGGAGGCTCTTTTGGAAGACTCCACTCGGGGCTTCACTAATTACGCCATCGCCGGCCCAGATCCTAGGGGGAACACGCCTATAGATGTGGAATTAGGGGCGGACACATACAACGCGATTCGCAAAAGTGGGTGTGTGGCGGTTGGATTGACCGAACCGGAACATGCCTGCTGCCGAAAATTAACATTGTCGTTCAACACACAGCTGGGAATTGTGTTCGCTGGACAGATTCGGAACATGGCAGCTGCCGAAAATTGTATGGAGCAAGTGGAATTGAAGATTTACACTTATCACTCGGGGCCCAGAAATGTTTACTAATGCGTAAACTTTTGATCTCCATTGTCAGTTGGAGTTAACGGCCACTGCGGCAAATTTTTAAATATATGTTGCACTAACTGACTGGAAGTAAATAAGCAATAAATTGATTTGCAAATTTGGTTGCCAAGCTGATGCAAATTAGGCATCAACACAGTTCGTCTTGAAATCGTGCCCGCGAAAGTTTAAAGTGCTCCCCAGTGACAAGTTAAAATTAAAGACAATAATAAGTGAAGATTTAAATTAACAAACATAATTACAGAACATTTTCACACAACAAACATAACACACAACAAACATCATCAAAATATTTATTCAACAAATATACAACATGAAGAACGTTCAGCCATAAAAAATCATTACACAATTTACAAAAAAGATAATAATTTTTACACAGAAAACCATACATCAAAACTACATAAATTTTTAAAAAAAAAAAAGAAAAAAAAAAAAAAAAAACATATATAAATTTACATGAATTTTCACACAAAAAATACAAGAAAGATAACACTCATTATTATATTTATACAACACATAAACATAATTTCAATTTGCCACATAAAAACCAAAACCACTGAAAATTAAAACAAATCAATAAAGATTATACATAAATTGAATTTTAAATAGTAAATAAACATCTTGTTAATAAAACGATTAAAAAACATTAAGTTTGGCCGGGCCAAACTTTTAATACCCTCCACCTTAGGGTAAAGGAAATATTAGAAGAAATGTGGCAAAAACCATAAAAATACCGAATATCGGGAGGTACCGTTATATGGGGGCTATACCAAATCGTGGACCTACACATGCAATGTTTCGCCAAACCACATTCACTATACAACCCAGAAGAATTAGCAGCAGCTGGTCTCTGCAGGTAAATGCGGTGGTGAGAGACAAACTCCCCAGGCGACTTTATTCGGAGGCTCATTTGGAAGACTCCACTCGGGGCTTCACTAATTACGCCATCGCCGGCCCAGATCCTAGGGGGAACACGCCTATAGATGTGGAATTAGGGGCGGACACATACAACGCGATTCGCAAAAGTGGGTGTGTGGCGGTTGGATTGACCGAACCGGAACATGCCTGCTGCCGAAAATTAACATTGTCGTTCAACACACAACTGGGAATTGTGTTCGCTGGACAGATTCGGAACATGGCGGCTGCCGAAAATTGTATGGAGCAAGTGGAATTGAAGATTTACACTTATCACTCGGGGCCCAGAAATGTTTACTAGTGCGTAAACTTTTGATCTCCACTGTCAGTTGGAGTTAACGGCCACTGCGGCAAATTTTTAAATATATGTTGCACTAACTGACTGGAAGTAAATAAGCAACAAATTGATTTGCAAATTTGGTTGCCAAGCTGATGCAAATTAGGCATCAACACAGTTCGTCTTGAAATCGTGCCCGCGAAAGTTTAAAGTGCTCCCCAGTGACAAGTTAAAATTAAAGACAATAATAAGTGAAGATTTAAATTAACAAACATAATTACAGAACATTTTCACACAACAAACATAACACACAACAAACATCATCAAAATATTTATTCAACAAATATACAACATGAAGAACGTTCAGCCATAAAAAATCATTACACAATTTACAAAAAAGATAATAATTTTTACACAGAAAACCATACATCAAAACTACATAAATTTCAAAAAAAAAAAAAAAAACATATATAAATTTACATGAATTTTCACACAAAAAATACAAGAAAGATAACACTCATTATTATATTTAAACAACACATAAACATAATTTCAATTTGCCACATAAAAACCAAAACCACTGAAAATTAAAACAAATCAATAAAGATTGTACATAAATTGAATTTTAAATAGTTTATAAACGTCTTGTTAATAAAACGATTAAAAAACATTAAGTTTAGCCGGGCCAAACTTTTAATACCTCCACCTTAGGGTAAAGGAAACATTAGAAGAAATGTGGCAAAAACCATAAAAATACCGAATATTGGGAGGTACCGTTATATGGGGGCTATACCAAATCGTGGACCTACACATGCAATGTTTCGCCAAACCACATTCACTATACAACCCAGAAGAATTAGCAGCAGCTGGTCTCTGCAGGTAAATGCGGTGGTGAGAGACAAACTCCCCAGGCGACTTTATTCGGAGACTCATTTGGAAGACTCCACTCGGGGCTTCACTAATTACGCCATCGCCGGCCCAGATCCTAGGGGGAACACGCCTATAGATGTGGAATTAGGGGCGGACACATACAACGCGATTCGCAAAAGTGGGTGTGTGGCGGTTGGATTGACCGAACCGGAACATGCCTGCTGCCGAAAATTAACATTGTCGTTCAACACACAACTGGGAATTGTGTTCGCTGGACAGATTCGGAACATGGCGGCTGCCGAAAATTGTATGGAGCAAGTGGAATTGAAGATTTACACTTATCACTCGGGGCCCAGAAATGTTTACTAGTGCGTAAACTTTTGATCTCCACTGTCAGTTGGAGTTAACGGCCACTGCGGCAAATTTTTAAATATATGTTGCACTAACTGACTGGAAGTAAATAAGCAACAAATTGATTTGCAAATTTGGTTGCCAAGCTGATGCAAATTAGGCATCAACACAGTTCGTCTTGAAATCGTGCCCGCGAAAGTTTAAAGTGCTCCCCAGTGACAAGTTAAAATTAAAGACAATAATAAGTGAAGATTTAAATTAACAAACATAATTACAGAACATTTTCACACAACAAACATAACACACAACAAACATCACCAAAATATTTATTCAACAAATATACAACATGAAGAACGTTCAGCCATAAAAAATCATTACACAATTTACAAAAAAGATAATAATTTTTACACAGAAAACCATACATCAAAACTACATAAATTTCAAAAAAAAAAAAAAAAAACATATATAAATTTACATGAATTTTCACACAAAAAATACAAGAAAGATAACACTCATTATTATATTTAAACAACACATAAACATAATTTCAATTTGCCACATAAAAACCAAAACCACTGAAAATTAAAACAAATCAATAAAGATTGTACATAAATTGAATTTTAAATAGTTTATAAACGTCTTGTTAATAAAACGATTAAAAAACATTAAGTTTAGCCGGGCCAAACTTTTAATACCCTCCACCTTAGGGTAAAGGAAATATTAGAAGAAATGTGGCAAAAACCATAAAAATACCGAATATCGGGAGGTACCGTTATATGGGGGCTATACCAAATCGTGGACCTACACATGCAATGTTTCGCCAAAGGAGCTAGAACCCATTATGACCTAGAAATACCAATTTTCAGACAAATCCGTGAAAAAATGTAGCAAAAATCATCAAATTACCGAATATCGGGAGGTACCATTATATGGGGGCTATACAAAATCGTGGACCCATACATGCAATGTTTCGCCACCGGAGCTGGAACCCATTATGACCAATAAATACCAATTTTTAGACAAATCCGTGAAAAAATGTGGCTAAAATCATCAAATTACCGAATATCGGGATGTACCATTATATGGGGTCTATTCCAAAACGTGGACCTATAATTTTAATGACTCGCCGCACGAACCGGGACCCATTATGATCTACAACTACCAATTTTCAGAGAAATTCGTAAGAAAAATGTGTCAAAAATCACCAAAATACCGAATATTGGGAGATACCGTTATATGGGGACTATACCAAAACGTGGACCCATACATACAATGTTTCGCCACACGAACTAGGACCCATTATGACCAACAAATACCAATTTTCAGACAAATCCGTGAAAAAATGTGGCAAAAATAATCAAAATACCGAATATCGGGAGGTACCTTTATATGGGGGCTATACCAAAAAATGGACCTATACATGGCATGTTCTGCCACACGTACAGGGACCCGTTTTTAGAGACAGGCAGACAGACGGACATCGTTAAAGCGACTAAGAATTTGATGCTGATTATGAATATATATACTTTATGGGGTCTACGACGAATATTTAAGGATGTTAGAAACGGAATGACAAAGTTAATATACCCTCCTTTACAAGGTGGAGTGTATAAAAGGCATCCCAAAGGTAAAATAATAAAACAAGTAGATTTAAATATAAATTTTACGAGTTAGCTGGAATTTCACTGTGCCATATCTAGGAGGGATATTTTGTCGACGTTTCTGAAAGTATATATATATATATATATATATATATATATATATATATATATATATATATATATATATATATATATATATATATATATATATACATATATATATATATATATATATATATATATATATATATATATATATATATATATATATATACATATATATATATATATATATATATATATATATATATATATATATATATATATATATATATATATATATACATACATATATATATATATATATATATATATATATATAATCACTGCTAAATCTCCCTCAACATTGTTTTTTGGGTATTTCCATTTGGTTCTTCGATGGAGTTCATGCAAAGATTCTAACTTCCATCTGTTACAAAAATATTGAGAAATCACTCTGAGTCCTTTCCACCTATTTACTAAATTTATGTCTGTGTCTGAAACATCGGGCCCCGCTGGAGCAAGCATTGATGTCCCTATAAGAAAATGACCGGGTGTCAAGGGTGACAAATCATTAGGGTCGTCGCTAGATGGACTTAATGGTCGCGAATTGAGACAAGCTTCTATTCCGGCTAGAAATGTTATCAATTCCTCAAACGTAAAGTTCATTTTTGGAATACTTTTCTTTAAATGAAGTTTAAATGACTCAACTCCTGCTTCCCATAAGCCACCCATTTGCGGCGCACCAGGTGGGATGAATTCCCAACTAAGATTTTAGTAAAAATTGCTGTCAATTGTATTTGTTTGGAGGCTTTTAATAAGCGCAATTCTATCTCTTTTTATTAAATCGACAGCTCCAACGATATTGGTTCCATAGTCGGAATAAATACAAGACGGTTAACGAATCTTGAAAACGCGGCACGAAATGCTTGAGTTGAAAGGTCGCTTGTAGGCTCTAAATGTATTACCTTGGTCGCAAAGCATACAAAAAGACACACATAACCTTTTGTGATAAAACAAGCTCTTCCAGAATAACTTTTGAAGTTGAAGGGTCCCGCAAAATCGACACCAGTATTTGTGAAGGGTCTGGACAGAAAAGTTCGTTCGGGTGGAAGTAATGCCGTTATTTGTTCCTGCGTCCTTTTTTTATGTATAATGCATATTTTACAGTGACGAAGAGTTTTCTTGACCAGCGACTTCAATCCAAATATCCAGAATTCGGACCTTATTATTCGAGTCATCAACTGATTTCCGCTATGCAAAGTGAGTTTATGAACAAAGTCCACCAACAACTGGCTAAAGATTGCTCCATGTGGCATAATTATAGGATGACCTTCATTGTATGTTAAGGCAGTAAGTTGTACCAATCTTCCATTGGCTCTCACGATGCCAACCAATCGTGGAATCTGTCCAAAATTGGGTCGTATAGTGAGAAATTTGTAGATTACTCGTTATCGATACTGCCAGTTTGGACAACAGAACTGCGCCACATAATTCGAGTCTAGGAATAGAGAGTTTTTTGATCGGAGCTACCAGAGTCTTTGCAGCTAACAAGAATGTATGTACGCTTTTGTCAGCATTTTCGACTCGAATGTATATTGCTGCTCCATATGCGTTTTCTGAGGCATCACAAAAGCCATGAATTTCCACCGTACTGTCTAAGATGTATTGAATCCATATTGGTACTTTAAGTTTTTCTATATTTTGGCTATTTTTCACGAAATTTTTCCAGCTTATTTGGGTCAAAGGCTTCAACGTTTCATCCCAATCAATTTTGTCCAGCCAGATTTGCTGCATTATAAGTTTTGCTACAACCACCACTGGCGCCAGCCATCCACAAGGGTCAAACAATTTGGCTATTGTTGATAGAACTCCTCTTTTTGTATGTATTTCTTAATTTTCCATTTGTGGTGGCGTAAAAGAGAAAAAATCACCGGAAATATTCCATCGAATCCCCAATGTTTTTGTGGAAGCATCCTCAGAAATATCTAACCAATTCAGTGGAAGTAAATTTTCTTCCGGAATATCTTTGAATACATTGTGTTCATGTGAAGCCCATTTCATTAGAGTAAATCCAGCTGAGTCAAATGCAGCTACTAACTTCTTTCTGGCCATGATTGATTCCTCTAATGTATGGCCCCCAGCCAGTACATCATCAACATAAAAATTATTCAATATTATATCCGCTGCTCTAGGATGCGAATCTTTAACATCTTCTGCTAACTTAATGAGAGTTCTCAATGCCAAAAACGACGCGCAATTTACTCCAAAGGTCACTGTTAGTAATTCGTAATCCTCAATGGGGTCTGATGGTGATTTCCTGAATAAAATCCTTTGATATTTTGTTTGACTTGCGTCTAAAAGTATTTGCCGATACATCTTTGTTATGTCGGCGTTAAATGCATATTTGAAAAATCTCCATTTCAAAATTTGTAGTACCGAGCATGGTACAATGAAGAGAAGGTAGGCCAACTTTGAAAAAATTGCAAGTATGGAGGTCTACCTGTTTGGCTTGTAATGTCAGAATTAGTATCAAAACAATAAAAAATCAAACAACTTGTTGCATTTATTTTGAATAAATAATTGAA